AGCCAGTATGTATTAATACCCCAGATAGACTAGAATCCCTCAAAGGGGACCTCCAAAAAAAGGGTGGATCCTCTGGTACTTGAGCCATTCCTAGGCCCCCTCTTCGCTCAGCCTATCCCTGGACTGCAGGAGCTTCTCAGTCTGAAAGGTCTGGGGTTAGGGTTTGAGCTTTGGGTGGAGGGCTCATTGTTACTAAGCATCCAAACCCCCCCAACATGGTTGGCAAGATGTTTTCAGGATCCAAAAAATGTTGTTGCAGCCGTTGCAGCTTGCTGGTGTCATACCGCAACGTTAGGCCCTAAATCCCGAGCCCTAAACCCTGCAAACCCTACGACACCCGGGACACCCGTGATTGGGAATTTTCAGAAGCTACCAGACTGAGGATTGGGCTGAACCGTCTCCGTCTGAGCAACAGACTGCATGTAGTTGGCCTGGGTTTGGGCTTTCAAGCGAACATATATTTGTGACTGTGCGTCATATACAAGTGTAGTCTGGACAACGATATTGTTGGGCTTACACACACATATGTGTATATACATATATATACAGAAATATCAATACTTATATCTAAATGTATATATATATATATATAAACAGAGCTAGGGCTTTTCACCTAGACCCTCAGCCAGCCAGGGCTTTGCGGCTTCTAAAGCCCGTGCCTGCCAGGTGCTCCTTGTTGGTTGAGCCGGATGATGACTTTTCCGCAACCCCAAACTCCATTTATATGTTTGGATGTTCCCCTTCTTCTAACAGTCCTTAATCGGGATTTTTATCGGGGGGGGGTACTATAAGCCGGATTAAGGACTGTTAGCATAACGAGGAACATCCCAATTCATAGGTATCAGGGTACTCTTAGCGGGGAAGTCTAGCTTTCTCTAGCCCAACCAAAAGCCCCAAAGCCCCAAAACAACCTCTCTGGGAAACGCTCTCCAACTGCTGGGCTTCCGACCCACATGGAGCCGTTCACACCAGAAAGGGCCTGCTCAAGAGTTGTGGTTGGGTGGCCCTGTAGTACACTGTTCTTTTGGTCACCTACACACTTCAACCCTTTTCTGAATCGGGTCGGCCCCAAGATGAGTTGAGACCCTTGGTCCATCACCCTCCCTAAACCCCTAAAACCCTGAACCCTCTCTTCCCCCCTACCTAAGTCCCTGCTACTAAAGGCCCCCGACTACTCTAAACCCCAACAACTCAAATCTCCTTGAGCCCTCTCAAGAGAGCGCAAGTTGCCTTGCTGGTGTTTTCATGCCTCGGCTTCCCAAGGATCCCGAGGGGGGTGAGGCTTGAAGTTGAGGGTTTGAAGTTTTTGAGGTTTTATAGGGGTCATAGGTGTTAGAGGGTTTCTAGGGTTCTGCGCAGTGGGGTGCAGTGTTGTGCTCTCGAGGCTCCTGCTTGGGGACTACTCCACCCTACACCCCACGTGCCAAAGCCTCAAACCCTTCAAGGAGCCCCAGAGAGCCCATAAGTCTCAAGAATCCTTTCTTAGTATCTGCACTGGGGCCCTTACCTCGGGGTTCTTTGTGATGAGCTTGGGATTCCAAACTCGAAAGGCTGGAGGCTCTCGAAGGAACTGGGTGTAAGGTTTTGGTCTCAGGGCAACTCTCGAAACCCTGAACCCTACGTTCAGGGTGCAGCCTTCCCGAGCTACGGCCGACGGCCAATGCACACTTCTGGGGATGAGTTTTGGCCCTGTGAACTGTATAACCCCTCATCCCTAACCCTAAACCCTGAATCCTAAATCCTAAACCCTTAACCCTAAACCCTATAAGCCCTACAGCCCAAACCCTAAACCCTAAATAAACCCTCCAAGGCCTGTGACACAAGCCCAGACAGAAGGCTGAGGAGATGAGTCTCCGGCTGTATCTGCTGCTGTTGGAGCTTCTCGATCTCGGCCGTCACCTGCTTCAGCTGCCCTCTGATCGTTGAGGCCTAAACCCTAAATCCAAAACCCTGAACCCTAAACCCTAAACCATAAACCCTAAACCCTGAACCCTGAACCCTGAACCCTAACCCTAAACCTCTTCAGGGTTCAGGCGGTTATATGGCCTTCGAGCCCATCACTCGGTTAGTAGGAGATGCTGGGGTGGCAGAAACGTCAGCACCGCCACGGTTCTTGTGGAGCTTGAGAGCCTTCATTCCGCCTCTGAAGATGCGCCTGAACCCTAATACTTCGTCTCCAGGCCCGATAAATACTAGCCCCAACCCCAAACCCAAAACCAAGCGAATGACCGGAGACCCCTGCAACGCCCGAACACAATGCCAGAGGCGAGTGATGTTTTGGGCCCAGTGATCTAGAGAATGCACATAGCTGTGGATCCTCCCCCCTCGGGGTCTGGATAGTTTTACATAGACCCTCAGTTGTAGGTCTTTTTGACCTAAATTAGGGAGTGACATATTCACATGAGCGACTGCCAAAACCGGCTGGCAGTGCTAATGGACGCAACATGAGGGGTGTCGCTTTTCAGGTGTTCCCATCGCTGTACAGGATTTTAGCATCAGTTATCCACGCTTGATGTCTGCAGGTGTCACTTTGGGAAAATTCAAGGTTATAGCCCACCACCACGCTTCATTAACTTCGGGGTGTTGCTTTTCAGGTTTTCCCATCGCCTTTACAGGGTTTTGGGCTGGGTGCGGAGAAACAGGGTTTAGGGTTGGGATGTTGCCCCTTATACCAACAGTCCGTAATAGGGATTCCATGACGCCCTATTATAATCCTGTTGAGGACTCCTGGTATGAGGGGAACATCCCAAGTTTAGGGTTTAGGAGTTCGAGAGACCGGGCACATTGGCCCGGAAGCCCCTAGACCCCAACTTTCGGCTTGCTGGTGTCCGTTGCGTCTCACAACCCCGCATCTTCCGGCTTCCCTCAATAAAGAACAGCCACAAGCACAAGGACAACCAACAGTACCATGGTGTAACATGGTTTAGGGTTTAGGGTTTAGGCCCCAGCGGAACAAGCGTTTTTTAACTGTTTCGATTGGTGGCGGCCCTTTTGGCCAGAGCAGAGGCCTTTGATCCTAAACCTAAACCCCAAAACCTTAAACCCTACACCCTACAGCCCGAACCCCGAACCACAAAGATTAATCCTATACCTGGGCTGTGAGCTTAAGATTTGCAAATTTCTCCCCCCCCCCAAACAAACAAAAGCAACAACAAAATGAAAAGAATGGGATCCGGTGAAATCCAATTCCTCAGGGATCCGTGCTTAGGGCCCAACATATCCTGAAACATGACCTGCCAGCCCTGATGCATCCTGCATCTTAAGCCCATCTACAACCTGCAAACCCGAAATATAGCAAACCCTAGGCCTTAGAAACCTACCTAACCCCTGAAAGACCTAAACCCTGAAGCCTCGAACCCGTGTAGACCCTAAAGCCCTAAACCCTAACCTTCCATGGGTTTCTTCTGTCTGTGCCGCAGACTCGCTGGATTGAATCGCACAGGCGGCATCCTCGACTGGTAGTATTTTGGCTGTGTTCCTGCTTTGGCGCCGAGTAGGCCTGCGAGACCTTCTGCCAAGCCGTGCTGTTTCCGGTGGTTCCTTTGCAGGTTTGCAGGACAAACAGCCACTGTGGTATATTTGGGCCCACGGCCACAAGTCGGTTCGCATCATTACGGCGCAGGTGGGGGCCGTTCCAGAAAGCACCCTCTCTGGGTTCACGGCCCCGTGAAAGCGTTCGGGTCGCGTGTGTAGTGTGACGGGTTTAGTGTTTTGGGCTTGGGGCTTTCCGTCGTCAAGCGCGTTCTGGAACGTTGCCCCCTGTCACCGCGACGCATGTGCCTCTAATGGTGAAACCAACGAGCTACATTGACACTCCAGGGCTCCAAGGGCTGAGGCTTTAAGCCTTGTAAGGTTACACAAAAGAGTACATATATCCAATAAGCATGGCGCACTTCCCTGAATCGGAATGCTAATAAGCTTAAGACACACTTCCTTGTTTTGAATGCTACTTTAGAGCACATATACCCGATAAGCTTAAGATACACTTCCCTGTTTTGGAAGGTTTCTTTAGGGAGGGCTTAGGATGGAGGGTTTTCCTTTCCGACTAGATTTGTTGCGGGGGGGGGGGGGGGGTATTTCTTGTTGCAGCACCCGAATCCCCGGCTTCCATGTTTCCGAACTCCCTACGAAAAAGCTAGGTGTGCCAGTACAGCAACCTAGGAGAACAAAGTGGTTCAGTTTTTAAGAGGTGATTTGAAGCTTTAAGATTACTTGTGGGCGTCCTTGCTTCAAAACTAGCAACCCTCAGCCTAAAGCCTAAACCCTACATGCGTATCCCTGAAGGGCTTGGTGTGGATTGTAGGGACTTGGTGAGCCTGGACGTGAAGTGGGATGGGACATGGGGGTGTTGGAGGTTTCGTCCTGGAACCATACTTCCTGCTCGGAAGGCTCTCCAACAGCAACACGCATGTGTCATGGGATTCTACACTACCCCCCCCCCCCGCCCCCCCGTCACCCGAACTCCCCAGTCTCCCAACATCCAAAAGGCGGGCCACAGAAGCCCTGTCGGGCATTATTGAATGATTGAATTTGGGTGAAGGGACAGTTGGGATGGGAAGTATGGGATCCATGATTGTAGGGGCTTCGAATGCAGGGGTAAGGGGTTTTGAGACTCGATGGCTCTAGGCTTCGCACCCGGCGTGTGGTCACCTTAACTTTATGGGCAGGGTTTTAGGGTCAAGGGTTTCAAGGGTTCGGAGTCTTATGCTTTGGGATTCAAGAGCCCTTCCGCTGCCTTCGACGGCACGGGAAAATTTTTCTGTAGGGCTACAGTCAGACGACTGTGTGGACGTTCTCGAAGGGCCAGCTTGGATACACGACTTGCACTTTGACTACCGGCGGCTTGGCCATACTTGCGGGCTGTGGATTGACTAAGCCCTGGATCGATTGCTCTAAAGCCGGATTTCTTCAACAAAAGGACGGTAACTTAGGGACCACCAGATGACACTGCTCCGCGCAGCATATCCAGCAGGCCATCTTTGCGAGAAGTCTTCGTCTCACTATCTCCTCAGAGGCGTATATGGCACCACTGAGTATGCCTCGGTGGTTCAGGTTTCAGGGTCTGGGCTCTACTGGAGAGGACAGGGAGGACAGAGAGGGGAGAGCGGCGAGAGAGGAGAGGGAGGAGAGAGAGAGAGAGAGACTGACCTTCGGCTTGCAGATGTTATGAATTGGGTTGACTGTCTGATTCGACGCTGCTCTGAACTCCGAATATTTCAACGGGCAATAAACAACACAGACCAGCAGAAGCAGCGGAACTGAACTAATTAGCAAGCTCATCTCAACAATGTCTCAAAATGCGGCGCAGCTTCCGGCCTGACTGCGCATCGAATCCCCCGGACGAACAGTCCCCAAGCCCGAGGAGCCTTAAACCTTAGAGCCTTGAACGAGTCCAATGGATCCTTATATAAACCGCAGAGCCTTGAGTCCACGACAATCAACAAACCCCTAAAACCTGAGCCCTAAACCCCCGCTCATCCCACAAAAACCCTCAACAGCAAAAAGGGCCTGTCGGCATAAGAGTCCTGACGGCCCGCATAAGGCCGAGGCTGGCGAGGGAGGCGTCAGTATCGGCATTTGCTGCCTAGGGTCCGAGTTAGGTGCTTTCATGGTTCAGGGGTTATAGGTTTTGGCCTCAAAAGAGGGACGATATATACTAACTCCCTGTAGGATTCTGCGGGGGGGGGGGGGGGAAGGATCTCGAGCGCTGGGTGATCGAATGCCATGCTGCCCAGAGTTCCTGACCTAAACCCTTTCAACTCTTCGACATAGAGTAGGCCGAAATATGGGGTACCTTATTTGGGCCCTTCTTACAAAGAATTCCTACTATTATTTGGGGTCTACATTATGTAAGGGCCCCTTACTTTCACAAACCTCCATAAGGGGTTCTAAATCACGGCCGAGTCCGAGTGCCGAGCCATGCCTACAAACCCCATATTAGCCCGTAAACCCATCATACCCCATAGGTCCTAAGAGAGCCCCTTAAGCTCCAAGAGCTTATCTTATAGGGTGCCTCATGGAGTCCCTCAATAACCCGAAAAAAACCCAAGCCCCCAAGGCCGTAAGCCCCTAAACCACCAAACCCTAAACCCCCCCTGGCCTACACCCTTAAGCCATAAGCGCTCCCCAAGCCCTAGAACCCCGAACCACCCCCCCTAAACCCTAAGCCCTAAACCCTTTTTGGGAGTCGTAGGTAGGGTTCCCGGCCCATTCAGCACCACGCCGTTGCTGGGCACCCCAGGTGTTCGGATGCCATCCTGACTTTTTTAAAGGTTTAGGGTTTAGGGTTTAGGGTTTCGGCTCTGGGGGATGTATGGGATTCTTTAGAGGCTTAAGGCCTAGGGTCATGTTTAACTGTTTATATTGTTGGGGTTTCTACCAGTAGGATTTAAGAGGGCTGAGGATGTAGGCTTAGGGGCTGGCTGTCGGGATCCACTAGCACAGGGTGCTTCAAGGCTTTTAGTTGACAATGTTTAGGGGTCCGAGGCAGGGTTTACAAGGTTTACGCTGTGCTGGCCTTTGCGTCCCCCTGACGCCCAGACGGGGCCAGTTGATGCCGATGATGCTTGCCATTAATGGCCACTACTGGCCCCGGACGCCCAGCAAGGGGCCAACTGATGCTGATGATGCTTGCCATTAATAGCCATTAATGACCCCCGACGCCCAGCAAGGGGCCAACTGATGCCCATGATGCTCGCCTTTGCGGCCAACTGATGCTGATGATGCTGGCCTTTGCGTCCCCAGACGCCCACAAAGGGGCCAGCTGATGCCGATGAAGCTTGCCATTAACGGCCATTTATGGCCCCGGACGCTGGCCTTTGCGTCCCCCTGATGCCCAGAAGAGGCCAGCTGATGCCGATGATGCTTGCCATTGATGGCCAGCAAGCTGATGATGCTCGCCTGCTGCCCGACATTTTTAGGAAAAGGCCCAATCTAAGCTTCAGCACTAGTAAAGGGGGCGGGGGGGGGGGGGGGGGCATCCCTCATCCCTCTCGGGTTTAGGGTTTGGGGCCCTGGCCCTCCACTCCCCAGCTCGGCAACTGGTAGCTTTGTTCGGCCAGGATGCTGTGAAGCAATGGTAAGTCTCTTACATGAAACCCCTACAAGCCTGAACAACCTACAAAACCGTCAAAAGAGAACAAAGCTAGGATGGCCCCTTTAACGAAAATCATTCCTAAGTATGGTCCTCTTAAACCCCGAAAGGGTGAACATGAAGTTTCCCAAGGGTATAAACCCTCGACCCGGCCTGGCGGGGAAGTGAGTAGGCGCTGGGTGTCTTCTGCACGGCACCCTGTGCGCGCAGGAAGGGTCTCGGGCTTTTGCGGGTTGAGGGTTCGGGGTGTTGGGGATTTTGGGGTTGAGGGTTTGAGGGTTCATGATTTAGGGCCTCTACAACCCCCCAGAACCCTAATCCCAGCCTCGAATTTGGGTCTCGTGGGCTGACTGAGACACAAAGAAGCCTAAGAAGCCTAAGCCTAATTCTCTCGTTAGCGGGGTTTAAGGGTTCATAAGGCTTCGGTCTCCGAGGCCAAATTTTGAGCATTTTATTAGGGAATACCCCTTGTATACCCCAAATAGAAAAGAATCCCCTTGAAGGGACCCCCACAAAGGGTAGCCCCCCTATCCTCGGCAACCAACAAATCATTTCCCATTTCGCGTTTCGGATGAGATCGCTCCGGCGGAAACAGCGGGGAAAACCAAGGATCGCCAGTACCTGGTCCACACGAAGTATATGCAATGGGATGTTCCCCCTTCATACTGAGAGTCCTGAATAGGGATTCTAGTACCCCATAGTACAATCCTATTATTAAGGAGTGTTAGTATAAGGGCGAACATCCCAAGATATACAAACCTGCGTCTTCTCCACATGGTCGAGTCTGTAGGGCGCCGAAGAGTGTTGCTCTGCTGCGCCTGGTGCCTATGGCAGACGCCAGGCCTCCGATAATCGAACCCTGAACCCTGGTTGATTGTTGGGCTTAGGGTGACTTTGATGCTTGGTATACTCCAATCACCAAAAAGAAGCCGCAGCCCAAAGCAAGGAAATAGGTGCGGGAACTCTGTCTGGCGGCCAGGGCAAAGGAGTAGAGGTAGACCCCCGGATTAAGCCCAAAACCCTAAGCCCAAAAATTGCCTTCAAAACTCTCCGAAGAAATGACATCCCAAGGATGACGGAGTGGTTTTGGCCTCGGATGCACCAGCGGAGGGCAAGCCACCCGCGGCGACCTGAGCTGGTGTTCCGGGGTTGGGGCGCAAGGTTTGTGGGGCTCAGGGCTTGGGGGGGGGGTTTATAGGGGGTTCAAGCCCCTAAGCCATGAACAAAAAACCCTGAACCCGAAACCCAAGAATTGCACCCTAAACCCTAAACCCTAAACCCTAAACCCCCAACCCCAAACCCTGAACCCTGAACCCTAAACCCCAAACCTTAGCTCTCCCGGACCATTTGCCAAGCCGGGCGGCCACCCGAGCAGAAAATTGAGACGACTGCGCCGTAACGGCGCCGGCGCTGGTGTTTCGGGAGACCTCTGCTTAGGGTGGAAATCGCAGAAGCTCCAATGCCCACAGTTTAGGGCGTGCAAGAGAGAGACCTCGGAAATAACTATGACTAGCAATTTTAGGGGGCTAGGAACTTCCTAAGTCCTAATCTCTTTCTGGGGGTTTGCTACCCCAAAGCCTACTTAGTATGTTGAGATACTAAACCCGACACCCTGGTGCCCGCCGCCACCTCGGCGCTGTTCGCGGCTTTGCTTGAACTTCGCGCATGGCCTGGGAGGAGGGGGGGGGGGGGGGGGGGGGAACTCATCGGTTTGGGGTTTTTTGGGGTTTAAGCGGCTCTTCATTTCTGGGAGACGCCTGGGAGGCTGTGCCAAAATATTGACCCCCTTTGGAAGACCGTATGTAAGGTTTCATCCAAGTCGGTAGTGCACTTGGCAATACTGTTTCTTAGGAATACAAAGCAAGCATCAGCAAGTATAGTCAAGTTCCCCTTTCAACTAGGCGGCACTCTGACCCCAAGTTCTCTGAACCCTACAGGCCAACGACCTGAGGGCAGGTCCCTCCATTCGGGGATTTGCGATTTCGGGGTGAACTTGAAACTTAAACCTCGGTGACAAGAAAAACGCCAAAACCCCAAAACCCCAAAAACCCCAAACCCCTAAACCCTAAACCCTTCCTAGAATCGCCATTGCGGAGGAGAAGCCGTCGCCAGATAAGGCGTTCACCTTCCCCTCTAACCTGGCACACGAATGGGTTTAGGGTTAGGGGATCGGGGTTCAGGGTTTAGGGTTTAGGGGTTTGGAGTTTAGGAGTTTGGGGGTTAGGGTTTCGAGTTTAGGGTTTAGGAGTTTAGGGCTTAGGGGGCTTAGGGGATCAAGGCGTTGGGACAAATGACAAAGGGTTTGAGGGAAACCGTCCCACACGAGAATGCATGCTGCAAAACCAAGCTACCTGAACTCTATACCCTAAACCCTAAAACCCATCCTGATCACCCTGAGCCACAAGTCCAGCGCACGTAACACTCCTAAAGACCCTTATCAAGCTGCGACCCCACTAAGCTGGAAGCCCTGTGTCTCAGCACTGTGCAGACGAATCGCCCAGAGCTTGTTGTGGGTTTCACATTGAGGGTCTGGTTTCCGGGTTGCCGCCGAACCCCCAAATCTCGACAAGCCCTTCAAGACACACTGGGACGCCCCCCGCCCAAAAACCAGATCCCGACCTAGAAATGGTCCTCACTCCACCAAACCTAACAGACCAGCACAAGGAAGGAGCGAGAGAGGGAGATCGCCACGAACACCATAAGCCAGAAAACCCCAACTCAAAGCCCCCAAACTCCCCAGCCCTAGATACAGAAGCCCTTCTTAGCCCATTGTAACACATCAGACCAAAAGCCTCTGAGACAGCGGCAGAATCCCAAGACCCGCTAAACCCGGGGACTTTTCTGCGTGGATGAACCGATGCTTGGAGTCAGGGGGCGGGAGAGCGGGACCCTCAACTTGGACCGAAAGCAAGGGCTGAAGGTCCACAGTTTGCAAGGGTCTGGAATTTAGGGTTCCGAGTTTTAGAGATTTAGATGGCATCTCGAGGGGGTAAGGGCTAGAGCCCCTGCGGGGCGGCAAAACCCCATGGAGGGGACGGGCCCGGCTGAGCATTAACCAGCTTTAAAATACAGACTGCGCAGCTGTGGCTAGTTCGCCATTTGGGATTCACAACTTGCGCAGAGCAGAATCGCAACCATCGAGACTTCTCAGAAATCTGCCTTGCTTCGAGTGTGCAACAGCAATAAGACCAGCGCGTGCGAAGAAAACAGCCAGGGTGTCGCTAGCCAGTTTAAGCGAAGGACTGCGACCTCGCGAGATTAAAGCGTGACTTTGCGTTGGGCATCGGGGCGACCTTCACCATGCGTGTGCGAGAATTGCTCCTGCGGGAATTCCGGGCCTCTGGATAGAACCTGAGTCGTGACCACACACGGCTGAACCGGACCCTTGCTCAGGCCACAAACCACAAGGTCTACGGCCTACGGCCCATAAGCCCTACGGCCCCATCAAAACCCAAGACAAGCCCCCTTGGCTCCCAAGGCCCAGGAACGCAGAGGTCGTGCTCTGCTTGCAGAGAATGGCTTTTGCCTTCGTGTCGTCCTTCATGGGCAGGGCCAGGAAGGCTTTTGCCAGCCGCCAAGCGATCCAGAAACGGACCGCGAAGAAGCAGTGCATGCAAAGCCAGATGCCACAGAAGGTGCAAGCGGCAATCAGCTCCACCATGTCAGGGTCGCTCTTTACGCTGGTGAGGAGGCCTACATAGAAGACCATGGAAATGATCAGCCAGATGCAGCACATGGAATGCTCATCCAAGATCGTGAAATATCCGAGTCGGGGCCTGAAGGTGTGAGCCATTTGGGGTCCAATCAAAGTTTAGGCAGGTTTCTAGGGAAGAAGAGATCCTGCCCCTCAAGCTCCTTGAAGTTTTGGGTTTAGGGTTAGGACCGAAACCCTAAACCTGCTGTATGTTGGCAAGGGAGCCATCTGGTTCTGGGGACCACACAAAAGACGAAGGCTTAGGAAAGCCTAGGGCCACCCAGGCTAACAAATATGCACATGTGTATAAACCCCCTAGGCTGAAGCCTGCTTGTGGAAGCGCCCGAAAGCCTGATGACCCCCCCCCCCTCTCCCCCCTCCCCGAAGCCAAACCAATGCCCTCAAACCCCAAGCCTGTCCTTGATCTGCCCCTTTTTTGAAACCAGCTCAAGCCTGAACCCCAAACGCCCCCGCAACCCCTCCAAACGCAAAGCAGGAATGAACGAAGCCCAGGGTCCGGAGAGAGGCCGAGAACTGGTAGTAGGAGGCACAGACCAGGAGCAGGGTTAAGGAGATGCTGGCCCGCTCGGCGACCTTCTTTAGCGAGCTTCGCAACAGCAAGCTGGGGCTGAGAGAAGGGGGATCGTAGAACTAATGCAGGAATTGAAGGAGTCAGGGTTTAGGGTGGTTCGGGTTTAGGGTTTGGGGGCTTTGGGGATCTCCCCTTAACTACGAAGAGAATCCCTAAGTACCCTCAACTGAAAGGAACTGCGCGGCCTTGTCCACGCCCACAAAGAACTGCAAACCGGCCATCAAGGCGAACAGCATGTTCGGAAGAGAGATGTTCACCAGGTAAAAGAAGGGCTTCCGCTGGACGAAGGCTGAAAACTGTACGTGCTGGTAGGTCCTCAACGGGCATCGCGCACCCTGAGCCCTATAAGAGACGAGCAACGAAAGTCGCAGCTCGCCCGCACCGCGGCTCAGAATTTAGGGTCTATAAGGTTCAGGGTTTAGGTGTTCAAACAGGTGCTCTCTGGTCCTCGTAGGTAGGACACGGCGCTCCCGCACGGCGATGCTAACCATCCCACCCAGCATGTACCTCTCAGACAACAAAGCCATGTGGTTGCCCAGAAGGGTTTAGGGTTTAGGGTCTTAAGGGACCCGAAGGCCTCAGTCCAGAACCCTAAACTCTATTGAGTTAGGGCTTCAGGGATGTCGTGAAGAAACCTCCCAAACCCGTAGACACTAAGTGTAAACCCAAACAAGTGGGTCGAAGGCGATACATAAACCCTGAATCCTCAAACATCAAGCATAAGACCCTCAAGCCTTATGCCATCAACCCTAAAACCCTCAAAGCCCAAACCATGACCAACATCCCGAGAGCTCTCACAAACATGAGCTCCCCACATCCTAAAGCCTGAAGCCCGGAAGTGTCCTAGCACCTAAACCTCAAGGCCCTAAAACAGACAACAAACAAAAACAACGCTTGACCCGAGGCGCTCGTTGTCCCAGATGAAGTGCGCGTCGTTGACATCACAGTTCTCCGTCTTCCTTGAAGACTGGTCTGAAAGGTTGAAGGGCTTAGGGTCGAGGTTCCATCCCATCGACACTAAAGGAAACCAAACATCGGAGAGTGGGGACCACCATTTGAGGGTTCACTTTGCCCCAAAACTCCTCAACAGGGCCCCGAAGTCCAAAGCCCTAAACCTTCTAAACCCCAACCATTTATCCTTTATCTTTTTTTTTTTTTTTTGGGGGGGGGGGGGGGTCCGAAAGTAGGGGTACCTTCTTGAGGGGGTTCCTGCAATAAGGATTCTCCTATTTAGGTGGGGTACCGCCATGTTGGGACATGCTCATGGGAGTCCCAAGGCTCTCCGCCGAGATATGCACAGGGCACATCCCTTGGTTGGCGAGCTGGAACTCCACCTTTGGGATTTCGAACCCGAAGCCCTTTTTCACCTCTTTATGGGCTAGGGGCTCTTTTTGGGGGGACTCCGGTCTTTCTGGGGCTTGATTTTGTTGAGGAATTCAAGGCCTCGTCATGAATTAGGGGTTTAGGGTTAGGGGTGCAGGGCTTAGGGGTGAGTTGGGGCCTGGTTGGCCTGATTTCACGGCTTCCGCTATTCTAGGCCGTGAACCCCAGCAGCTCCTCATTGGGAGTTCAGGGTTATTGCGGGATGGGCGGCTCTCGAAACAGGGATGGGTTTGGGGCTTGGGGTTGCAACACGCCGCCTTGACGGACAGGTCTTGAATGTCGAACGGAAACTTGGCGCACTCGAAGCGCTGTAGAAATACCCCGTGGACCTCAATGGAGAAACGAAGGTCCTTCCCATCCTCCACGAGCTTGTTGACCAGAACAGTGGGAGGCTCCGCAGCATTCATCCAGGACACATGCTGCGTGTAGAACCTCACAGAGTTTCAGCACAAGCCCCGGCCCTCCCATCCTCCCATCCCCCCCCAAACAACTCAAAACAGCGTAACGGGACTCTAAATTCGGGAACCTGCTACTCGTTAGATATAGGTTCCCCCCCAAACCCTAAACCCTATAAACCCTATAAACCCTAAACCCCAAACCCCAAACCCCAAACCCTAAACCCTAAGCCACAACAAAAGCATGCACCCAAAACGGACGGAAGCAGCGGGGCCTCGCGGGCGCCTTTCCGCCATCCTTGGGCTTCCAGGAAGTCTTGTCCTCGTCCATGTCCTCCCAGCTCGGGGGGGGGGGGGACTTCTGGGGGGTTTAGGGTTTATAGGGCTTAGGGCTTTTGGGGTTTAGGGTTTCGGGCTTTTGGGGTTTAGGGCGTTTTGGGTTTAGGGTGTACTAGTAGGGCTTTTGGAGTTTGGGGTTTAGGGCTCAGGGTTCTATAGGGTTTTATTTATGTTTAGCCAGCGTTGAGGATTGTTTTTTGGTCGGTCTTTGTCCACGACTCCCCTCGCTCTCCAGAGAAGAGCCCTCCAAGACACCCCCAAAACCCCCTTGACCCTTGTGAAGCCCCTACTTCCCCCCTCCTTCAGGAGATCCTCATCCGCTCCCGCATCCCCGAGCAGGAACTCGAAGTACAAGCGTGCTGTGAAAGTCTGGTGCACAAGATCCTTGTACAGGGACGGCTTCGGGTTTAAAAAACCCGCCTACAGACTCTCAAGCTTGGTACAGCCTATCCCCATCAAAAGATGCCATATAGCAGTAAGCGTTTAGGGTGAATCCTAAGCCCTAAACCCTAAACCCTAAACCCTAAACAGCTTTGCAAAATCCCGAGATCTCAGCCGGCCGGCAACCCGATAGTCCTACACCCCCTGACCCGAAACAGGGTTTAGGGTTTAGGGTTTAGGGTTCCTAAAGACCATGACCCGAACCCTAAACCCTTACACCCTAAACCCCTATACCCTAAACTGCCCTAAAACCCCTGAAACCCCTGAAGCCCTAAAGGACAAAAGGGTTGCACACCCATAGGTGAAACAGCCGGGACGCAATCGAACAGATTTGCCGGAACTCGGCCCGGATGAGGTCGAAGCGCAATGGCTGCCTCAGGGCTCTTGGCTCACTTAGGGCTCCAGGAGGTTTAGGGTTTAGGGGTTTAGGGGTTCATAGGATTTAGGGGTTTAGGCTTTAGGGGCTTATAGGGTTTAGGGTTTGGGGGTTTAAGCTTAGAGATTTAGGGTTTAGGGGTTTAGGGGCTTGGGGTTCAGGGTTTGGGGTGCGGGGGTTTAGGGTTCAGGGTCTAGGGCTTCGGTCCTTGATTGACTGGGGCTTCGGACATAGAGCTCAGGGAATACCTTCTCAAAAGTCTTAGGGTTTCGGCTTCAGGGTCTTCAGGATGTGCCCTTTGCACCTAAACCCTAAACCCCCTCTATCACATAAATATGTATGTATGTCTGTCTGTTGTATAATATATATATATATATATATTTTTACATTTATTTATTTATACGTGTATTTATCTTTAAACCTTAATGAAATTCGTGGGCAAGGCCCGGAAATTCGTGGGCAAGGCCCGAAAATTCGCGGGCAAGGCCCGAAAATTCGTGGGCAAGGCGCGCTTTTGGTTCCAGCCGAAAAATTGAAATCAGCTGTGTGGAGAGAATTAACCCGTGTACTTTGTGATTCTCTGGGTGGGTGAGTATCCTAGCCCGACGCACCTAGCTCGACTAGAGACTGCTCGACCCGGAGCTGCTGAACCCTAAACTCTAAACCCTGAACCCTGAACCCTGAACCCCAAACCCTAAACCCTAAACCCAACAGCAGCCGCGCTGCGGGGGCAAAGCCTCGTCGTCAGCCATCCGACGGAGTTTTGGAAAAGCATCGGCTGGCGCGGTGGCGCTCCCCCGCCCTAAAGCTCTGCAACCCCTGAAGGCCCTAAAACCTAAAAACCCTCGGACCCTAGAAACACCCTACAAAGTGGAGGGGAAGGGGTGGTAGATCCACTAATTAAGGCTTCTAGAGTCGTGGTTCAGGGTGTGGCCTTGGGAGCTGCTGGGTTTTTAGGTTCTGGGCCGCTGGCTTAAGACTTCCAGGGTTTGAGGGTTTACGCGTCTTGGGGAGTTTTGGGGCGTTAGGGTTTGAGGGGTTTTGGGGTTTAAGGGTCTAGGCCCACTTCCTTCCCGAGGTCAAAAGCGTGCCGAGGGCCTAGAAGCCTTCTTCTCCTAGCTCCAAGGGACTACAGAACCCCAAGCCATAAACCCCAGCCATGAAACCAAACAACCTGCGCCTTCCAGTGCAGGAGCACTGCTCAGCTTGGGCCAGCGTGGATGCAGCCGCGGACAGGGTTTTGGGCCTACGGTGTTAGGGTCTAGGCTCTGCGGTTTCAAGTTCAAAGCTTGCTATACAGCTTCTTGAACCCTAAACTAAACCCCAGATTGCTTTGAACCGCCGCCTCCTTCATCTGGTGCCTTGAAGCTGAGAAACCATGCTACCCAGAAACGAGTTGAGGGTGAAAAATGCTCTCCCTGCAAATCTGCACCTCTTGATCCGAGCGCGGTTGTCGATGATGTGGCCTGCAGTTGGGCTTCAGGCTCCACTACTCTAATCTCATGATCTGAATGAGCGCCCATTGCAAACAGCTGGGGCTAGGGACGGGTAGTTCTAGGCCAAAAGTCGAAGTCGACTTTTGTGCACAGTCCAAGTAGGCCCAGAACTGGGGATGTTCCCCCTAGACGACTAACAGTCCTTAATCGGGGTTATACGAGGGAACATCCAAACCCAGAAGCCAGCTCCCCCGCCTAAAAACCACGAAGCCCTACCTTGAACCCCAAACAAGCCTTCAACTTGAGAGGCCCTCTAATCTAAGCTCCCTAGACGCCCTGCCACTCCAGGTTTCGGGGCTCTAAGGCTCGACCCCAACCCCTGAAGCCGTAAACCTTCCAGAACCACTAGAAGCGTTTGAGGCGCCAATACCTGTAGAGCCCCAAGGCTTTGGGAGTTCGCGCTGAGCTTGGGGGGTACAAGAAGAGCTTGAAGAATCAGGTTTTGGGCTGTTGGCTATTGAGTTTGCGTCCAACATGCCGGGCTTATTGTGGGCTGCTGTCCATGGACTCCCCAAAACAAGCGGTGGACGATGCAGCTCAACCGAGGCCTCCAAACACACGGCTCATGTGCTGTATCCTTGGTGGCCATGTTCCAGCACGGGGCATTTGGGAGCATCTGCGTGGGTTTGACAAATCGGTATTATTGCCGGGATGTAAGATCTCGTAACCCACGTTCAGATGAACCCGTAACCATGAAACCCCAACCCAAGCTTCTTGTACGTGAGATTTTTGGGCCCTGCAAGCCCAGCTACTCAGGTACAGGCTTCAACGTGCTTGGGGTGTGTGAGACGTAGCAACCCTAAACCGCAGGGCTCATCGCCAGGGCCATCTAGGCTTCAAAGAAATTGTGACACTGAGGGACGCAAACGCCTCAGCATTGAACAACATCTTCCTCTAACAATCAGTATCAGCCCAGATTTGCCATCTCAAGTGGCGAAAGGAATGGTGTTTCACTATACATCCGCGCGCCGGCATTGCCTGAGCCTCAACCGCTAAACCCTAAGAGCGTGGACACGAATTAGGGTTTAGGGTGTTGGTTCTATGCATTCTTCGATTTACCCCCTCCCCCCAACATTGCTTCTTCGGTCGTCTACCCCGTCAGAACCTTCAGGCCTCGGCGATCGACGACACAAGACACGAAGGAAGTCCAATCAAGCCTTGTGAGAGCCCCCCGATTTCCGATATTACGGGTATCTCGTTGGGTTCTTATTGTAAGGGAATCCCACTAGTTAGGCTCTTATTGTCAGGGAATCCCACTATTTAGGTTCTTATTATAATGGAATCCCCACTATTTAGGAACCCCTGAACCACGAGGCCGCGGAGCTTGCGGAGGTTGAGCAGGCTTTGCTCGATGGCGGCCTCGGCCTCGACCTCCTCCTCTATTGGGGGCCGGCGAGAAACAAAAGGCGTGACAGGGCTTGGGGTTTGGAATTTAGGGTTTGGGGTTTGGGGTTAAGAGGTTGGGGTTTAGGGTTCTGGGTTTAGAATGTAGAGCTTAGGGTTGAGAACTTGGGGTTTAGGGTTTAGAATTTAGGGTGTAGAATTTAGTGTTTGAGGAATTGTCGGTCTAGAGGGTTAGGGGCCAGGGCTTCGAGGATTAGAAGGCTAGGGTTTAGGGCGGTTCAGTGCTTGTTTAAAGGGTTTATTTCTGAACGTGTTTGAAGGGCTC